GTGCTTTGTGGTTGCTCCTCTAAGATGTGGGGCTAGAAAGCAGCAAAGAATGATGAAACCTGGTATATGTTCTGCCCTTGTTCATCGTTATGTTTTCCCTGTGTGATATCCTCCTTCAGAGCCAAACTCCTGGAGAGCGAGTCGGTGAACGAGTACTTGAGGAAGAATCTATCCCGAGCCTCTAACCGTCAGTCTCTGTACGGAGGAGGGCCCTCGCTGCTGGCCCCGGAGAAGGAGACCTCGGACATCATCGAACTGGCCAAGAAGGACCTGGAGAAACTGAAGAAACGAGAGAAGAAGAAAAAGAAAAGGTACAGATCTGACACAGAAATTAGATCCAGCATCGAATGCTTTGACTGGAGGTGTGGGTGCAGGTGCTCATACATCAGATTACGTTTACGGAAGGCACATGAATAACATCTTTACACAAAAATAGGTTTGACTTGTAATTAAAAAAATGTGCATTTGAATGTGCATATTTGAAGGTAGGGTAGGTAAGAATGGAGAAACCAAATCGAGTGCGCTAGAATTTGAAAATACACGGCCGAAAAAAATCTGCCCCTTCCTTCAGACTTCCTTACAGAGCCCCTCCTCCAACACACACGAATGCGCACATGACCAATGAGGGCACGAGATAAGNGGAGGTGTGGGTGCAGGTGCTCATACATCAGATTACGTTTACGGAAGGCACATGAATAACATCTTTACACAAAAATAGGTTTGACTTGTAATGGATTTTAATAAAAAAATGGCAGAAGTAAAAAAAAAAGTGCATTTGAATGTGCATATTTGAAAGGTAGGGTAGGTAAGAATGGAGAAACCAAATCGAGTGCGCTAGAATTTGAAAATACACGGCCGAAAAAAATCTGCCCCTTCCTTCAGACTTCCTTACAAAGCCCCTGCTCCATCACACGAACGCGCACATGACCATCGAGGGCACAAGATAAGTTTGTGCACAGATGGAAGGCTGACAGGCAGGTAGGCCATCCAGTTACTTTAGCCGGGCCGGCTCAGATGATTGGTCGTGCTTTTTACAGCACCACGGCTTCCACAGATTACATATCCATTGCTATCGGGATGTTAAGAGAATTCCATGGAATATAACAAAAAGTGTTTCTGAAGTGAATTACCTACCCCACCTTTAATGACATCTCTACATCACAGAGCATTTAGCTATTAGCTTTAATAATGTATGTGCAGTTTGACTTAATTTACAGTCCTCACACCATTACTACAATTCACATTTAATGTATGTAGCATAAATTTGAGTTTCGACAGATTTCTTGCTACCTGGGACGCACTATTTGGGATTTTTCTCCGTATCCATCATGCCGATATTTTCCAACTCATTTGTCTGATTGCAAATTATCCTTTTATTTTCACCCTGACTGGAGAAAACATCTAGAAAAAACGTATTTTTATATTCGTATCCCCAATGCAGAAAGACAGGCCTTTATCCTTGATGCAGACTCAAGTATGACGGTGTTTTCTGCGTGAACCTAAGAAACAATGCTCTTTGGGGCATCTGAAGGAGATATAAGTTGGATTTTGATCAGTCTCCCCTCCGCTCTTCCTTCCTTTGTTCATCTCTCCCCCCCTCCCTGAAGGCTGCAGCAGCTGCTGGAGGACAGAGACAGGGAGGAAAGGGAGGAGGTGGTGGAAGAGGGGGATGACGCCAGGTTTGTCCGAGCTCCCACCCTCCTGCTGCCATTCCCATCCTCCGCTTCCCTCCCCCTAATTCAGCGCTTTATTTAACTTTTTTTTTTTGCGCAGGTATTCCCCCACCTGGAGTGAAACCCGCTACCATAGAAGCACTTCCCCTCCATTCAGCACTTTTGATACCACGTTAAAAACCTTTACTTCTCTTTAGATTTGTGAGTTCTGCAGCTTATTCATTGACCCTTCATGCTTCATGTTTATATATTTGAACTACCTTGACTTGAATTGACATTTTTCGGGCTCCGGATATTCGGTAGTAATCAGCAGCGAATATTCGGCCCGCGCGGCGGCGGGGGGGGGGGTGCGTAGTAATCATAGACTGTATATATAAAGGTAGTAATCAGCAGCGAACCGCTTCAACACGTGTATTTCGGTGTATTCACGGCATTCATTTTGTTATTCTGCAGTATTGTTGTTTTATAGTTATTTGTTAATGTATACAATTGAAAAGGATATCGCATTTGTTACGTTCGTTGCAGTTGTAGGCTATATGTCTTAAGTGTAATTTGGCTTGGCTTCCTATTTATGGACATGCTTTTATTTTGAAGGAGAGTTAGCGCAGTTGACAGGAAGTTGTTGTTGCTATGGAAACAACGTGACGGAGATTAGCGGAGAAAAGTAATATCTACATAAAGACGGAGAAAGTAAACGATAACGTTTATGGTTAAGTGTTAGCACCCCCCGAAGAGACACAAGCTCTTACTCTGATATTGGAGATTTCAATAAATTCAATTTGAAAAAAAAAACGGAGAAAAAACAAACAAAACGAATATCCGAGTAACGAAATTGAAACCCGAATAGTACTCAAACGAACGAATATTCTGATATTCGGGTACAGCCCTATTTGATATACATAATACCTGATAAATATTCTAGTCCAGCCAATAGGGACAACAGATGTAACTCTAGCACATTTACAGAAATGTTTATTAATGTGACTTTTTAAATAAACTAATCAAATCTCAATCATGAAGAAGAACGAAAAGTAGGGTTTTTTCTGCAAAAGTCCCTGAAATATAATTATTAAAATAATAAATAATGCATTAGTTAGACAAGCAATCATTGTACCTTATGGCAGAGGTCTTGGCTGTCAAGGTGCTCCAAATATTTCTTTATTTGATCGTTTTTTTCAGATTTTAATTTGGAATTTGACAGATTGAGCTCACAGGATTACTTTTCACTTCAGACTGTTATTAGATTTAAATGTATAAAAACGATTTAACATGACATTATACATACCTGTCTCTGCTCTCCTGTGTCAATTTCCTTTTTCTGTTTTGGTCACCTTATCCAGCAGTTTGTGTGAAACACCACTTACACATCACTAACCCTCTCGGTTTGGATACATGTTTTATCCAACAGATCTGACTCAAGGGGTTTAATCACTTTTTTGATTTTCCCCTTCATGCTTTTTAGCGTATGCTGCCTCCTTCCTTTGTTAAGACATATACACTGTCTTTTCCACAAACAAGCTCAACAAGTCTCATCTCTTTTTATCGTTTACAAGGCATTTCCTCCTCAAATATATCACGGCAAATGGAGTCGTGAATATGTAGTAGCTTTATTGCTACAAAATGGTGGTTTGCTGGAAAGACAGTGTTGCTATGAGTTGTTTGCTAAACATCTGCCGTGCCGACTAAAAAAACGACAAGAAATGATTTGGAAAATGTGTCACAACACCTTTGTGTCAGTCGATCAATAAAGTTTCTGATTTTCATTTCTATCTGACTCTTTCAGCGCCAACAAGGAGGAAGTCCCTGACAACGAGCAGGAGAAAGGAACCGAGAAGGAGATGACGGAGCGAGGCCACGAGGAAGCAGAAATTGTATGTTTAACTTCCTCTTGTTTCATCTTTACATTGCAGTACATTAAAAGTGAGAGCCTTCAGATATGAAACATGTTATTGTGCAGGAGGGCCAGGAAGGCAGCGACCATGAGGAAGGAGAAGAGGAAGAGGAGGAGGATGAAGAGGAGATGGAGGTGGAGGAGAGCTCCGATGATTCTGACTCTGAATCGGATGAAAAAGGTACGATCAGTCTCTCACTTTAAAAGGTTCTGATTCTCCACCAGGGGGCGCTGTTTACTCACATCTTCAACCATCAGCACATACAGAATGTTTTAGTGACTTTCTCAGATGCATTTAGAGCTGATCAGTTGTTTTAATTAGAACACTGCTCAAGGCCAGATTAGGAGCGAGTCCTTTGGATGTTGCATTTATTTTAGTTCTCGTCTTTTTGTAACATTTATACTGTAACATGTACTATAATTCAAGATTCAAGTGCTTTATCTTCATATGCACCACAGCTACCACAGTGGGTTGTTGTCAATGAAAATCTTAAGGGACAAAATATTATTTTAAGTAAGGTAAAGTAATTTCAAATCATCATGTAATGTAAAAAACATCTTGAAACTTCCAAAAACAAAACAATAATTGTTATTTTTATTTTATATATTGATTATGTGTACGTTTGTAAATACTATTTGTATCCACTGTGTTAAACGATAAAAATTTTAACATTTTCAAACAAATAAATACTGTTTAGCATTTTGCAGAAACACAACCATCAATTTATAGCATACCTAGTATTGTTATGAGAACAAATCATTCCGAAGGGGAGCTTAATTTAATAGAATCTTCTAACACAGAAAACTAGATCAGAATCAGAAACAGGTTTATCACCAGGTAGGTTTAACACCAAGCACCCAGGAAGTGCGCCGGACTCTGAGGAAAAGATTCCTTGTGGCCAAACGGCGGTACTACACTTCCGTATCAGTCGCTGGGCCCGGAAACACTTTTTCCCATTGACTAACATCGGGAAAGAGACGTCTGTAAATCTTTGGATAATTTTTTTTAAACTAAATAAACTACCCAGTATGAACGTTTGTATAGCCCTTATTAAAAACATTCGGTCCTCAAGTTGTAAAATGTGCTAATAACGTCATTCTGAGAGTTATTTTCCTCGGCATTATGAACACGCATCTAACCCACGGGACCGCGCCGCCCGGCACGTTCATGTGACGTGTTCAGTGCTACATACGTTTTACCTTTACCCATGGATGCACAATAGAACGAATATGATTATATGAATACTTTCGTGACGTTTCGCTCTCTCAAAAGTTGGGCCATTTTGTCTTCATGCGCCAATGAGCAACTCTCATAGGAATGAACGAGGCCCCGCCTCCCACGCTGTACGAGGAATTTGACTTGATGTCGTGGTGCATACATAAGTAAAACAAAAATTAAAAACACAAATAGAGAACTAGAAAGATATTAAAAATAATAAAACATATAGTCAAATATAACAGTATTTACATAGAAATAGAATGAATAGAATCGGCAGTAATAAACAAATAAAAAACAGATATTGTTGTACATTGTGTATATATAATTAAACTGATTTGATGTGTACCTCAGATAACTTCCAGGCGGACCTGGCCAACATCACCTGTGAGATCGCCATCAAGCAGAAGCTGATCGACGAGCTGGAGAACAGCCAACGGCGGCTTCACACTCTGAAGCAGCAGTACGAGCAGAAGCTCATGATGCTGCAGTGCAAGATCAGAGACACGCAGCTGGAGAGGGACAAGGTGCTGCAGAACATGAGTAAGACCAGGAGGGGGGGGGGGCCTGACTCAGAGGAAGAGCATTTTAACTTTGACTTAAAGACCACTATCATGCTTCCAGGGGGTTTTCCGTTTCCTGTAGGGTGTAATATGGGTTTCTGTGCATGTACATGAGTAAGACCAGGAGGGGGGGTCCTGTATCACAGGGAGAGAAATGTTCATATAGAATAGAAACCCTGAATAAAATAGAATCCTTTATTGTCATTATACAGGTACAATGAGATGAGTAGAGCTGCTCCTTTTTTTGTTAAGGTGCCATCAAAAAATTCTAAAAAACAAACGAGACGTACATTCATACTCAAACAATTTAGCTTCCTGTCACACGTCTCTTCTGCTGTTTTTCTCCATTGGACTCCTTTGTTTACTTCTGTAACATGATGACATCACTATGTAACACTTGTGCTTCTGTTGGCTAGCGCTCCAACACATTGTACGTGATAAGCTAAGGGGCGGGACATCTCTAAGCGGTTGACCAATCACAATAGAGCCAGCCAGCCAGCTAACCAATCAGAGCAGACTTTTACTAATTATTTGCACAGAGGGAAGAAAAGTGTCGATTTATCCTCTAAAAATACTTTAACCCATTAATGATCAGGCAGTTTGGATAAAAACACCCAACAAAATGTGTGTCTGGCTTACAATGTCTGTGCTTTTTGATGAGTTTATTTCAGTAATAGACAGATATTAGGAATACATCCTAATGCATGACAGGATATTTACATTCTTGCTTGTCCTGCTTTGATTTGAAAGATCTTTTTTATCATACCCTCATGTTTGATAGCAGATTGTCTTCTGTACTACTGAAGGAGACTTTATGTTGTTCAGAGGATCCTTTAAAGTGAGATCTCTCCGCCTGCAGACAGACATGACAGTTATATATAGCAGCACTAATGGATCAGAGCGTGGAGGAGTTTCAGCTCGTAAAAATAAATCACAAAGAATGGATTTTCTGGAGGTCTAGGTTTCTGTTTCAAATGATTACAGGACACATGTTTGTATCAACAATGCCAGCATCTCCATGTTTGTATCAACAATGTCAGCATCTCTTCCCAACATGATTGTGTAATGTATATTTTTTAGAGCATTGCTGCATTGTCACTTGAAGGAAGGCCAGTTCTTTACGACCTTTGTGTTGCTCACTTTCAGACACAGTGGAATCGGGCACAGACGAGAAGTCTCGTAAGATCAAGACGGAGTACGAGAAGAAGCTGAGCGTGATGAACAAGGAGCTGCAGAAGCTGCAGTCGGCGCAGAAGGAGCACGCCCGGCTGCTGAAGAACCAGTCGCAGTACGAGAAGCAGATGAAGAAGCTGCAGATGGACGTGGCCGAGATGAAGAAGACCAAGGTGGGCTTCTATCAGACAGTAGTGTGTGGTTTAAAGCTTATTCGATTCGCTTTTTAATGACTGTTTTTAAATGCCATGTTCTTAATGTCTTTCATTTTTGTAAAGCACTTTGAATTGCCTGTGTTGAAAGGGGCTATATAAATAAACTCGCCTTGCCTATGGTGATAATACTCTGGTGGAGATCTGAGGTCTCTGATTGTTTCGATAGTATGTTGCCTTCGTTTAGTTGAAGCTTGAAAGTACTGTCTTCGAATAGGAATTCAATAAAGGTTGCCATATTGTTTATCAACTCTGAAATGTGAACATGTTTCACTGAAGTTTGTTTTCTACCATGTGACTCAACTATCTTTCCTGTAAATCTCCACTTCACGGTCTCAAACAACGACCTAAACTACATTTTGAATGACCTAAACTAATGAAAGTAAGCCACACTTGTAGTCAAACAACAAGGACAAAGTCAAGAGGTAGGATTTAAGAAAGGCTCCAAATTATTTTACAAATCTTATGAGAACTTTCATCTGATTATGGAGGCACTTTCAAGATATTTGCGTATTATAATATGAATATTTCTCCTATTTGTTGCAGGTGCGTCTCATGAAGCAGATGAAGGAGCAGCAGGAGAAGAACAGGATGAACGAGTCTCGCAGAAACCGAGAAATCGCCACGCTAAAGAAAGACCAGCGCAAGCAGGAGGTTAGCATCGGGGGTTCCCTCTGCATATCGTTATCAGTCTGCTTTAATTGCATCTTTTCAATCTGAGCCACACGTTGTGATCTCCTCATCTAACCTGTTGAACACTGATTGTGTTACAGCACCAGCTGAAGCTACTGGAGGCTCAGAAGAGGCAGCAGGAGCTGATCTTGAGGAGGAAGACTGAGGAGGTGAGCAACCTTTAATCTTTTTTTAAATGTATTCTACTAAAATCATACAAAAACAAAAACGTATAATTCATACACACAAATGAACAAAATTAGTAGAAGCGGGAGGGCTGAAGCATAGCTTATGAGTAGCCCTCCCGTGCATCATCATTAGCATCAATATAATAATAATGATGGCATTTATTTCGTCAAAAACGTATAGAAATTAAGGAGTACAAAGAAATAAGAAAACTAATGAAAACTGGAAAAGAAAAAAAAAGAAAAGTTAGGGCAAGAAAAAAGTAAATGCATATATAAGCAATACTGGGAATATCCAATACTTGTTAGCTGGAGTAATCTGCAAATATAATTGTTTTTACTTTAGTTTTGAATTGTTGATGACTAGTAATACTTGAAAGGTCTGGGTGAAGTCCATTCCACGTTCTAACTCTGTTTATGGATCAGCTGTGTGATTTGATGGTTGTTCTACAGGGCTTGCTACACAACCCGTTAGGATGCCTGGTTGGGTATTTCATGACTGTGGTTTGGAACTGCTTTTGAATGTTATTAAGCATTATGGAAAATGTTGTGCATAATCAGTACTGTTTTAAGCTTAGGGATACATCAGTGTTCCTCAAACCTTTTTTGATAATGTACCACATTTTACGTATTTTTTAAGACAAATATCTCATGACAAGTGCAAAACATTTTACGTGACAAATAAAAAAGCCTTAATAAAGAGGTGCAATACACAGCTGCACCATCAATCAAGCCTTGTTACTAAAACTAAATACATTTTTTTAATATATCACAAAATTCAGTGTTAATCTTGCCATCACACTAAGACAGCATTGTAATCATACTAATGCATTGAGCTGCATCTTTTTGATAAGTTGCACAAAGACAATACAGTGACAAACATAGGCTTATGTATTATTTATTCCTGTTGACAAATGACAGTTTTCCTCCAAAGATTTTTTCAATGAAAATAAAGTTGTAGTAAAATGTTTGGCAAGTTAAAGCTAATTTACCTGCTGATGGTTTATTGCACTTATTGTAAGTGGCTTTGGATTAAATCACCAGTTTAATACATATACGTACATGTAATCCCACGTAATGTTATGTCATTTAATCTGTCATTAAATATCAAAATTAGCTTCCCACACACACTGGGAAAAGAAAACACTGAATTGAATTGCATTTTCTGCACTTCAATGTTTCGGCTAGCTCCAAATTGTATTGACAACATAAGAATATTTAATATTAAATGACATTTATTTCCTTTAAACTTTACTAACTTCTAAAATCCCTATCTATTTGAGAAACCCTGTTCTACGGATGCTGTTATACATGTGTTTTGTGTGTGTGTGTGTGTGTGTGTGTGTGTGTGTGTGTGTGTGCGTCAGGTGACGGCTCTGAGGAGGCAGGCCCGGCCCACCTCAGGGAAGGTGGTGAGGAAGTTCCTGTCTGACCCGGTGCAGGACTCCAGCTACAGACCTCCANCAGGAAAAACACAGCGTAAGGCGCTGCCGCCCGATGCATCCCCGGACAGTGTACTTGTGCTGAGCAGCCTGAACCAGGGGCAAACTGACTGACCATCGGTAAACCTGTCCTTGGGCCCAAGCAAAAGTCCCCACATGCTTCAAATACACCTCCATTGTGCCTGTTCCCAAGCACGCCTCTCCAACAAGCCTTAATGACTACCGAACTATCGACCATCATGAAGTGTTTCGAGAGGCTGGTCCTGGCTCGGCTTAAATCATGCCTCCCACCCACACTTGACCCCTACCAGTTTGCCTATCGTCAGAACAGGAGTACGGATGACGCCATCTCCACAGCAGTACACCCTGCCCTCTACCATCTGGATCAGAGCAACACATACGTACGATTCCTGTTCATTGACTTTAGCTCGGCATTTAACACCATCATTCCTTCCAAACTGATTACCAAGCTCAGTGACNTTATTATTATCTGTGTATTTATTCTTATTCATACATTTCCCATTTATTTACCTTTATTTTCGTATCATTTATTTTGTACATACTTCTGATAATTGTGTATATACTGTAACTGACTGTTTTGCACTCTGGTTAGACCCTCCTTAATTTCTTTACACTGTGCTTGCATTTTTGTAATGACAATAAAGTAATCTAATCTAATCTAAAACCCCGTGCTTTTCAAGCTCCAGCTCCGAACCGTTCCTGAAACACCGTTGGTGTAAATGAGGTATATGTAAAGCCACAATAGATTGGAGTCTGCCATCAGTCAAACGGAGGGTGACGTTGAAGGCCAGACTTATCGTGGGCCCAGCATCTCGTCCGGGGAGCCAAGGGTTAAAAGGAAACTCGTTTTAAAATGATGTTTTACCTCAGCTTCGGTGTAAGGGTCAAGCTGCTTAGATTAGGGTGAATATGTGCAGCTCGTGTGTGTCTAAG